CTTTGCCAAAAGCGCGGATTTAGGGTCTCCGGATGGGCAGTTGAACTTGGCTTCCATGTATTTGACGGTCAAACCCTAAACCCTAAACCCTAAACCCTAATCGTGTTTCAAAATCCTTTCATAAAACCCTAAAACGTGGTTTTTCGTCGAGTTTGCCCCCAGACGTGTGGGGCGTTGGTTTTTGGTGGGGACGAGTGTTTGGGCGTGGGCTTGCCTCTGGCGAGGGTTTAGGGTTTAGGGTTTAGGGTTTAGGGTTTGCAGGGACCGGGAAGTCCTTCGTGGAAGCCCTCAAGTGGCTGGCCAAAGCTGTGCGCGGGGGCAGCACTGCAGCAGCCTTCGCCTTGGGCTGCATGCACCTCTCGGGTTTAGGAGCTGTCAGGGACTGTCCCCTTGCTGCTGCGCTGCTGAAGCTGGCAGCAGATCGAAACCCTCATTTCGCGCTGCTGCTGCAGCGGGTAAACCCTAGTTTAGGGTTTAGGGTTTAGGGTTTGGGGTTTGCGGGGTGGCGGGTGGGGGCCCGCGGCCGCAAGTGCGGCTGCGGCTGCGCGGCTTGCGGGTTCGGTTTTGCGGGGTTTGGGGCTTGGGGTTTGGGGTTTAGGGTTTGGGGCTTAGGGTTTAGGGTTTGGTGTTTAGGGTTTAGGGTTTGGGGTTTGGGGTTTAGGGTTTCGGGTTTGGGGTCTGGGCCGAGGTGGGTGGGGGCTGGGTTTTGGGCGGGTGGGGCTTGGGGTTGAGGATTTGGCCTTCAGGGTTTAGTGTTTAGTGTTTAGGGTTTAGGGTTTAGGGTTTAGGGTTTAGGGTTTAGGGTTTGGGGGTTGGTTGCAGGCGTACACGGCGTACGAGCAGCAGGCCTACGACGAAGCAGCTTTCAACTTTCTTCTTCTCGCAGAAGCTGGCCACGAGGTGACTCTAAACCCTAAACCCTAAACCCTAAACCCTAAACCCTAGCAGCCATACCCAGGGGCACTCTAGCTTTTGGGAAACCCTGAGGGGCCCCCCCAAGCCTTACAGTAACTCTAGGGGCCCCCCTGAGAACTTAGGGGGCCCCCAGTGGGGCCCCACAGGGGCCCCTGGGGGCCCCCACAGAGGCCCTTGTGGGGGCCCCCCATAGGGGCCCCTAAGGGCCCCCACAGGGGCCCCCTGTGGGGCCCCACAGGGGCCCCCTACCCAAAGCCCCATAGGGTGTGGGGCCCCACAAGGAGCCCCTGGGGGGCCCCATAGGGAGATTTGTGGGGACCCATAGGGGGCCCCTACGGGGGTCCCCCCAGGGGGCCCCCAGGGGGCCCCCCAGGGGGCCCCCAGGGGGCCCCTCAGGGGGCCCCCAGGAGCCCCCCAGGGGGGCCCCTGGGAAAGGGGAGAAGATGGTTTTGGTGCGGGTTTTTTGGCATTTTGTGTTTTATTAATTCGGGTTCGTTTATTCACTTATTATTTATTTATTTTTATTTATTTATTTATTTATTTATTTATTTATTTATTTATTTATTTATTTATTTAAATATTTATTTATTTATTGTTTTTTGTTTTTTTGCGATTTGGCCTGAAGGCCTCTCAGAGCAATTTGGCGTTTCTGCTTGACGCTGGCCTCACAGACATATTCTTCGACGGTGGGCGAGGGTTTAGGGTTTAGGGTTTAGGGTTTGGGGTTTAGGGTTTAGGGTTTAGGGTTTAGGATTAAGAGGCCTCTGTACAGGCGCCGTCTCTATTGAGCTCCAGCGCTTTGGCCGCAAACAGAGCTTTGCTGCTGCTGCTGTTCCTGCTGCTGCTGCTGTTCCTGCTGCTACTGCTGCTGCTACTGCTGCTGCTGCTGTTACTGCTGCTGCTGCTGCTGCTGCTGCTGCTGCTGCAGGTACAATCCGACGGAAGCGTTTGCATGCGCAGCGCTTTTATGAAATGGCTGCAGCTCAAGGGTCTCTTTCTGCTCAGCTGAGGCTAGGTATTAAAAGTGCTGCTGCTGCTGCTGCTGCTGCTGCTGCTGCTGCTGCTGCTGTGGCTGTTGGCGCTGCTGCTGCAGTTGCCTTGGCTGTTGGCGCTGCTGCTGCTTCTGGTGCTGCTGCCTCAGTTGCTGCTGCTGCTGCTGCTCGCGCTGCTGCTGCTACTGTATCGACGCCTTTTGCACTGGAGCAGCAGCTTGCTCTCTGCCGCTTATCAGGGTTTAGGGTTTAGGGTTTAGGGTTTAGGGTTTAGGGTTTTGCGGTTATAGGAGATTTCGCCTACTACGGGTACGGTGTTCGCCGCCGCAGCTCCAGCATGAAATACCCCAGAGACTTTGTGGATGAGAGAGGTGAGGGTTTAGGGTTTAGGGTTTAGGGTTTAGGGTTTGGGGTTTGGGTTTAGGGTTTGAGGGCAGCTCCTGCAGCCGTCTACGCAGACTGTGTGCACGAGGGATAAAGGTCTAGGATTCAGGGTTTCGGGCCCAGCGTTTAGGGTTTAGGGTTTAGGGTTAAAAGCCTAGGGTTTAGGGTTTAGGGTTTAGGGTTTGTGTTCAGGCGAGTCTTTTGATGGG